GCTCTGTTGTAGTCCTGAGTTTTGAGTAAAGCTGTTAGAAATAATACACACAGATCCAAGGGATACATTAAGTTTGTTCTGAGGATTTCAATTCCTTCTGATGAATAAATAAAACCACTACTTTAATTTCATTTGGCTTAAGTTTTAGCTATCTGGCGAGACTTCAGACTGACACCTTTGACTCCTGTGGATCAAAAGTATGTTTTGACACAGACATTTAGGAGACAATTTGAGCTTTCTCTGCCCTTCTGAAAGTTAAAACTATTAAAGAAGGGCCGGAGGGTTAAGGCTGTCACACATCCTGTGTAATAAGGGATTCCCACATTCCATCTTGTGTCCCATACTGGATTACTCTTAAAAGTCAATCGAATGACTAAATTCAGTATCACAGACAGGCCCTATAAACTTCTTGTCCAGGTCCTTATAAACCCAGACATTTTCTTTTAATAAGATCAATTCCTAACACCACTGAATACTAGTGACCTTCAGAGAGTTGCTTTTCCTCACCAGGCCTTACCAGTGCTAAATAGTTCACCTTTTGAGGAATTAGGCATAATTGGATTTGTTTGTTTGTTTGTTTCTCCAAATATATGAATACAAATTACTTTACCACATGGTTTGCACAACTACATTAATTGTTAGTACTCTTATGATATCAAACTACTATTGAATGGCTGAAATAAAATTCTTCCACGAACTCAGCAGAGATCTAAAGCACTATTAGAGTCTGTAGAGGTGAGTTTTGGCATAAAATATTAAAATATCACTTCATTTGTCTGTATTTATCAAAGCATTTGTTAGGCACATCTCTTTGCAGCATGTGAATGACTTATATAAAGTTTTAAAAAGACAAACTCAAGCCATTCAGCTGCCCAGTAGAATAATTATTTGTCAAGTGCTTTAATAAAGTAATCTCATTCTACTAAATCCATTTGTTTTCTTTTTGGCAGTAGATGTTTACGTTTTACATACTGATAATACATTTATGCCTTATTAGTATATTGATACATACTTAATAACTATTTATAAAAAGCTGTGGAATATAATAATAACATATATTTAAAGTATAATTGCAGCTCAGAGGTCAAGAAGAATTTCACATCATTTGCCTCAGTGGCTTGTAAGTAACCTTCTTCACATTCTCAGTACCAAGAAGATGTTGGTCAATGTGTGATCCACCAAAGATACTGGAAAGGTCCAGCTGGCTTGAGAAAAGGAGGTAACTTTCTAACTCTAATCTTCACTACCAATCAGGAGGCCGATAAAATGAGTTACACTTGCATTTACTATGCATGGCCTATAGCAGTTTTGACAATTCATTGTATCACAACGAACATATACTTACTGAAATGTTATGTCGTCTTTATCACCTTGGCAACTGCAAGTGGGCCAGAGGATTTACACCATGAAAAGACCTCAGCCAAATCCCTCGCTGCGTGGGTAGATTTTAGCAAGTGTGTTTGACCAATTCTTATGCAGTCAAAAAAGCAGGATAGTGATTTATTTTAATAGACTTGTTTGATAGACTTGATAGGCTTGATTTGATATGCCTGCTATAACTTCTCGTAACATGGAATCATAGAATACCAGGTTGGATTCTTGAGGATCATCTGGTCCAACCTTTCTTGGCAAAAGCACGGTCTAAACAAGATGGCCCAGCACCCTGTCCAGCTGAACCTTAAAAGTGTCCAACGTTGGGGAATCCACCACTGCCCTGGGGAGATCATTCCAAAGGCTGATTGTTCCCATTGTGGAAAATTGTCCTCTTGTGTCCAATCAGAATGTCCCCTGGAGTAACTTGTACCCATTACCCCTCGTCTTTTCCATGTGACTCCTTCTAAAAAAGGGAGTCTCTGTCTTCTTTGTAACCACCCTTTAAATACTGGACCATGGCGATAAGGTCTTCCCTAACCCTTCTTTTCTTAAGGCTGCAAAAACCCAATTCGCTCAGCCTTTCCTCATATGGCAGGCACCTCTGGACCCTCTCCAGCCTGTCAACATCTTTTTTTGTATAGCGTACTATGTATAGCATATACATATATATGGAGTATATACAAAGTATACAGAGGTGCATAAAGATGCTGGGGTACTGTCATTTTTAGATATTCTCAGTTGTGTGTTATTTCTGTTCTTGAGCTTGTTAGTTGGGTACCTTTAACTTTCAAATTGAGCTGTTTGTGCATTTGCTCTGTTTCATATATTTAATAGTTGCGTTGTGACTAAAACTAACGCTAGCCATACGGAAGTTTGTTACTGGAAGGTCAATAATAAAAATACTCCTCATAGAATTGTTTTCATGCCTTCTCTGGCTGTGGCATTTTTTGTTTTTTCAGTGCAGTCAAACGTTGCAGACCAGTTCATACCTGTATTTTCACTATTGCTTATGAAATGGAGCTTTTGGTACAAACCATTTGAAGTTCAGTGCAGAGAAAGGTAAGTTTGAGGCTAGAGACTAATTACTGTGCATACAGCAGCCAGAAGAATAAGTTTCTGTTTGACAACAGAATTCAACATTTCAAAACACTGGGACAAAATTGGGACAAAAAGCCACACATACACATGATTACCAAATGCTAAACAAGCCTCTAAAGGAGCCATCAAATCTAGCTGGTGGTGAGCAGAGTGCGACCTGTGCTAAATACATTGTGTGTCCCCCAAGTCCCTTGTCACATATCATGTCCACTCGCTGTCTAAAGCTAGCAATGAGCCATAACCCTCCACTACCACACTGAAGCCTCTAATTTAGGTATGTAAATTATTAATCATCATTGTCATCTTGACGACTTATGGAATGATAGCTAGCTGCTCCTTAGGACAGTTCCATGTAAGAGCAAGGAAGTTGTGTGTTTACATAGTTGCATAAGTATGTGCTTTGGAAACAGGCTCCTCCTGCTACTTTACGGCTTGCAAAGTTCTGGTTGTAACACCATTCCTTCCCGATGTGGTTTACCTTGACATGTCCTAATAAACAAGCATCTCCTCTGGTTTGTTTCATAACCAGGAATTCCCTGCTGAGCGATTTCACCTTCCCCTTCCCATAATCTGCTGCTTTTGCCATATAATTACTGATGACAGCGTAAGGCACTCGGAGTTACCTTACCCGCCTATTTTGCCTTGGTTGGTGCCTTGTTTGGAACCACAGTTCATTGAGGTTTGAGATCTGCCTTCAACCTCAATGGCTGTATTTCAGTTTCACCTTTTGCTAGCATCTAACAAGAATATGCAGCAGTTAACTGTGCATGGAAGTACATCACTCCCATATGATTATTAGCACTGGCAGCGTAGAATTTGCAACCCTATTTCTTAGCGTAAATTACATCAAATTACGTGAACTATCATTTTATTTCAGCTGAAATGAAAAACGCCCCATGATTCCCCATCAACTGTAATCTGAATTGTGTTTACAACATAGATGTGTGGACCAGAGCACACCATGACTTTATTCAAATTCTTTCCTTCTATGACTTGCCGATAAACAAGACCAGACCTTTAGTATCATTTATTCAAAATGCAAAGTACAGGAAATAAGCAGTGCTCTCTTCATTTGCCTTTTAAATAAACAGTGTATGGAAGATGTCACGGTGATCGAGACAAGTTGAGAACATAATGGGAAAAGCACAGTCTTACAGAGCTAAGTAGGAACGTGGCTGTCTATTCACTCTCGGGGGAAAATACTGCCACTACAGTGGTGTTGTGGTTTTAAAGCTGGATAATGTCTGTATGGAAAACTGAGGAACCACGACTGTTATTTTAAAGACGTGAAACAATGACAATCAGGTGGTTTCACTGTTTTATAGGGAGATATTTTTGATCAGCATCTCCCTCTTTATTCCCATGCCGGTAAGCGGGCAAGCTGCACAACAGTAATTTATGACATAAAGTAAGAAGTGTTCAACTTCCTAACGACAATGAAGTAGCGGCATGGGAAAGGAAGAGCACTTGCTTCCCAAGTCTTTGACTGGGTCGTTCCTCAAGTCCCAAGCGAGTTGCCAACCTTCCATGCCGCCACCCCCGCCCACGGCTGGGGCAGGCGGGACGCGGGCGGGAAAGTTCCGTGACCCCGGGAGCGGAGGGTGTCGCCCAACAGACGGCTTTGGGAAGCCACCCGGGAGTGACACCCTCTTCCTTAAAGCCGGAGCCAAACCCCCGGGGGAGGTCCAGGCCACCCGCCCGGGCCGCGGCGGGCAGCCAGCGCCGGCGGTGA